TAAAAATTGGCCTGGCTCCTAAGGTAAGGCTCATCCAGGTGTAGGTGGTTTCTGGACATTCAAACCATGTGAGTAGTTTCCATATGGCCCACCTGAAAAACATTAGAGTTTTCCCAGCATATGGAGGCTGAGCCTCAGCCCACTCTATGGCAGCCACTGAGCTGTGATGGAAATTTTACCTTTCTCTTTGGGGGTAATTGGATGTCTGAGAGACCTTGAGAGCTCTCGCTGTAGAAATAGGTCACTAGGAAAAGCCTACTGCAGCCAGGGTAACGCATATTGCAGTAGCAAAACCAGTTTATATCTTTTTGACCCTCAGCCTGCCATTCAGACCTATTTCTGCCCCAGTTCTGTAACCTCTAAAGTTGTCCTGATGCAGCTGTTTCTTGAAGTTAAATTTAAAACGTCTTACCAAAATTATTTATTTTTAAATCAGTTCTTTCAGGGATGATTTTATTGTTGACCTGAAGCAAACTAAGACAGATTCCCAGCACTATTGCAGAGTGAACAGATGCATTGGCAAAATCGAGATGGCAAGCTACAGCAAGAGGTAGGGATGTGCCTTTTGGGGACTGGACAAGACAACCTCCAGAGGTCCCTGATGCTGTGATATATGTGGCTACTGCTGCAGGCTTCATAAGGATTTGCCTGAAACTTTTATAATGTCTAGATTTGATTTTTTCCAGACATAAGAGAGGTTAGAAAATAGTCTGATTAAGGGTCACTGGAAAGATGCTGGGTCTTTCACTCAGAGTAAAAACAGGGATAGAACTTGTTTAGGGAAGAATCCTGCAGTTGCCTGACATTACAAGCGGGCACATGCGGAACACTTTAAATCCTGCTGATATCTTCCCATTTGCAAAACTATGAAAACAAGGTCCCACACATTTAGAAGACAGATCTACAAAACCTGGAAATAGTTATCTAATGGGACCTGGTCCTCAGGTGAAACAACCGTTATGTTGATTTATGTTAGAAGAGAAACCAGTACTTGGTATTTTATTCGATAAGGTCTTATCAGTCTCGCATAGTTTTTGTTAAATGCCATTACCCAGATCTTCACATTCAAACTGCTTAAAAAGACTGACATAAAACTGGATCCTAGTTCACAGTTAGGGCTTTGAGATTGTATAAATAACTGTAAAATGACATAATGAACTAAATTCTCTTCCTCATCTGCCAATGTTCTGCCTACCAAATTTACAAGGTATGAAGAAAATGTTAATTGGACATGCACGTGAGGAATAGATATTACATATGGATCGCAGCTACCAACAAACAGAACACTGCATATTGCCTAAGCATCTGCACAGGTTTTGCACATGCAGTTCCATAGTTTGGGCGCACAATGTAGCCATACTTCACTTTTTTCAGATATTATTTAAATAACAAATGGAAAATCCACACACACACACACACACACACGTTTTTGTTAGACTGTAGAACAATTCTGCTTTGTGATTGGAGATAATAAAATATTGTGCATTACATTTATTGTCATTATTCTAATTCACTCAAGTCAATGTTGTATACTACATATAATACTCAGCAGACAGATAGTTACTTGTATCTACATTCATCACTTAGACATACATGTTAGAAGATTTTGCCAGTTGCCTGTAAGAATTCAGCTGCATATCTGGCACCAAATGAGCCACAGAATCATATTTCTAGTATCTTATGAAATGTCATCAGGAAATGCTAGGGTATTACTTTTATTTTGTGTACTGAGTCAGTTTGTCAAGCACCAGCATTTACAACTCTTGCTTGCTTCAGATGGTAGAAATATGACAATGTGTCAGCTGATGTAAGTAAGGGGAAATTATATTTATTCTCTGTTACAAGATTAATTCTAGAAGAAAGGCACCATGAAAGAAAGACGAATTTTTAAACACATACAAAGGGAGAGATTTATTGCTCATGGTGACACATAAATCAACCAGTAACTGACTGTGATACAGAAGCATAATGAGACAAGTCCAATGCTGTATTCTGCTCCGTATTTTACTAGCCATCCTAAATATACAGTGGGTTTTTATTTTGTTTCCAGGAAATTTACCTTACTCTATTTGAGTAATGGATTTAAAATTCAAAATCCTTCTGGGACTATCTTTATTGACATACAAACCTCCCATTGACTTTAGCAGCAGCCCCACACAGAAGTTGACAACAGCTGTGGACTTTAAAAATCATCCTGTTGCAATTTGCTCGAGTAAAAGTGGTCGTAGCAAAACAAATAACAACCACCTATAGAGTTTTTATCTTTCTAAACTCACTAACAATCAGCTCTCTAATATCCTGTATTCTGATACAAACAAGTAATCAAAATTACTTGAATTTCTTAAGAAACAAGTATTGAACTGGGAGTTGTTATCTATTGCACCTGAGAAAATTAGATTAAGCCTAAGAAGTAAAATGGTTAAGATGAGGTAGACTATTTAATCTGTCAAAGGGCTAATTTTGAAAGAAGGGTTGTAAAGACATACTTAAAGTATGTGTCTATATTTGTGGGTATATATTACTGTAATTATGTTATTTTTTTATAACTAAACCTAATAGTTAAGGTCAAATTATTTTTTTTATTTACATGGTAGTTGATGATTTCGTTATATTAATTCTTCCATTTATAAATCAGGTGACTAAGTAAATTTATACATTATCATGGTTCCTTGCAGCTGTAGGACCATGCTAGGGTCTAAGGAAAGGCTCTCTAGACTAACAGCTGAGGTGTCATTCCACGTTCACTAATGGTGAAGCCCCTTCCTGAGTTACCTGTCTGGGTTTTGAATCACTAGATAGAAACCTTAGCAAAGGACACTGTTTTACAAGGTATGAAAGAATACATAATGTTTGTTCTATCAACGACTTCTATTCATAATAGAGTTTGCCAAATGGAGCATGGTAATGTTTGCAAACTGACTGATATTGATTATTTGAAATGGGTGATGGGGAATATACTATTTTATCTCATTAACCTTTGCTGTCAGGGACTGTGAGGAGCTATAGGCATCAAACAGCGCCCTTTGCCTGGGGGACACTGGAGGTAGTAACTAAAAAGTAATCCCACGTTTTCAGTGTACTGAGGGCCTTATTTTCTCAATATGATCCTGACCATCTTTTCTCAACATGAAAAATATGAGCAAGGGTAGGTAGTAATACAGCCAGCTATATCAACAGTTATTTAAGGTGTCATTGCATGCATGAAGCCTAATTAACCAAGACCATTCTAAATCAGGGCATGTATTTACCATCTACCCGCACAAAAGAAACTGTATTTTATGGCTACTGGACAACAGCTTTCTTGACATATTCAGCAAAATTAATTTAAATTCTGATGTTAACTTGCAGTTGTCTTACGGAATTTTAGTCACTTTCTGGAGAAAAACTTGTGCAGAATTAGTCAGATTTAGTGGTAAGTCTTTTGCCAATCAAGATAGAAATGTGAAGCATTTGAAACCAGTAGTTCTGTACCTGAAAATAATGTTAAGAGATTATGAGGGGAAAAAAACCTTTGTTTCAAGATTTTTAGAAATTGAGTATTCCTAAAAATCAGAACAACAGAAATAAAACCTGATTCATTATTACTCTTGATATTCTACAGCTTAATAAGAAAACACTTCAAAAGCTGTCTCATTTCATAATGTGTTCACTGAATTGAGAGAGAAGCCACTGAAAATTACACAAAAAAGTAATTCTCCATTAGACACCAGAGGATGGCTTCAGCATCACATGTCTACATGGCAGTTGTGAAGCCATCTACTACCTGCAGTTGTACTTATAACGAACTAAATAATGTTTCCAAAAATTCAGATACAGTGGTGGTATCTGAGGAAGTGTGACATGGTTTTGAAGATTTTACTGGTATTTAGGCCTTATATTAGCTGCAGACTGAGCTTTATGCACAGTAAACATTAATAACATTACTATGCATAGCTGCAGTCTAGAGCTATAAAGATCTATACCAAAACCTCCTGAGATTTGCATGTTCAGATGTGAATCAGATTATTGGCTGCACTTGTGGTAGTGAGGGGGTTCTGCTATATTTGCTCCACTTGCTTTGGAAATTATACTTTCAAACTCAGCTTTAGGCTCATCTTTCCTTTAATTAACATACTTTAGGAAGAAACCCCATGTTTAATAACACATTAGAAAAGGTGATTTGGGGGTTATTCTGGTGGGGTTTGTTGTTTATTGGTGTTTTTTGGTTTTTTTCCCTTGGGCCCAGAGCCCAGTTCTGCAGCTTCAAGCAAAAGCCATCTCTTTATAGGTCAGATATACTGGAAGGTAAGCAGGATGCATCCTGACCTTTCCATCCTGTCTACCACTTTTATTTTTCTGAAATTTAATGGGGAGAAAAATAATGGTATTCTGTGGAAATTACTTAAAATTAACTTAGAGAAGACATGGCTGAATCCAGACATAGTGTACTTCAAAGTGATTTTTTTTCTTCAATTCTACAGGATTGTTCAAAAACTGTGTGTCAGAAGAGGTTGAAAGCTGCTTTGAGCACTGTGTGAGTATCTAGGTGACCTACTCAAGGAACTAGGTTGGGGTGGTATTTGTAAAACCAGATTGGCATCTCCATTGGAGGGAGTGTTACCTGCAACCAGCAAAAAGCACAGCACAAATGCCCCTCTGCAGGTTTTTAGAATGAACTTATGATGGCACCAGTTTGCTCCCATTTCTGTCATGAGTCTCTCTGCTGAATAGCGTTTTCCCTTATATGTCTGTGTAACTGCTGATGGAGATCAATGGGAGATTTGTATTTGTGAAGCCTGCAGGACCACAGATCAATAACACTCTGTCAGTTGGAGGCGGAAGGTACAAAGCAGCCTGCCTCCCTTAGGTGCTACATGGGCTTCTGGAGGGACATGGGCTGGGCTTCAATCTGTCCAGGACTGCCTCCCAAAACCTTAACAGCTGAGGATATTAGGGATAGGCCAGTTACTTTGTTTCCCATATATCATTTTATATATCTTGTAGGTCCCATACCAGGCTCCTCATTCGTTCAGCTGCAATATATTCCGATTCTGCGATTCACTCGTGAGGGCAGAGGAATTGATGGAGCTTCTTTTGAGGATCTTGTTTATGATGTCTTTCCATGTCTTCTTGTACTGATGCCGTAGCAAAGAGTACACAAAAGGGTCTGAAACAGCTTTGCTGTAAGCTAAGCACTTGGAAATGATTCCCCAGTGGGAGTTGATGTGGACCACAGAGGACAATTCAACAAGTCTGTGGAAAGAGGAAGGTTCAAAGAGTGAATATTCACATTAAAGACATGGAGCAACAGCACAACTATAAGCCAAAGACCTTCCTAAAGCCCCGGTTTATTCTTGGAATACTTCAAGAAAACAAAAGAAAGGCATACTCATGAAAATGTAAATGTAATCCTCCACTTACACATTTTTAAGACTGCAAATGTAAATTTGAGGTCTGTTTCACATGGATGGGACTACACAGCTCCTACCAGAGTGTCTTGACCTCCAAACTTCAAGGCATCCTTGACTCTGTATGTTTAGCTGTAATTCTCTGAGGCTGGAAGCAGACCTTGGATGTGTTGCCTCCTAACAGGCTCTCTTACTCATGTTCCTCAATAAATGTAGAATTGAAAGACTTTAGTGCAGCGTGGAATAGCTCCATCAGGAAATGAGACAGTCTTTAAAAAAGCCTATTTATTTGTTATTGGAATATGCCTTCTGCAGTCTAAAAACTGAGTCCAAATCTCTGAGGTAGAACTGGGTTTTCAACTCGTCAGTCTCCCTCAGGCCATCAAGATACTTGATAAACGGGCACCCCTCTCTCTAGAGTAACTGTACCCTTAGCTATTTTTACTGTCTAGTGAACACCATTTTGGGGATCACAAATACTCTGTGGTGAGCAGGTCAACACCTCACAGGAAAAAAAAAGATCATGCAACATCTACTCAAAATCATTTCCTACATAACATATCCTCAACCATTACACTTTTAGGCTCTGTGCCAAAATTTACCCATACAAACAACATGTGTTACTTTCTCTGATGACCCTAGTGTTTTCAGTCCTAAAAAGATCTCTTGTTAGACAGTAACATTTCACTTCATTATTTATTTTCTTCATTTGATGCTTTTGTTTTGTGCATTTTTCTAGTAGTGTGTCATAAGATTACGTTTCTGGCAACTGATAACTCTAAAGGGAATGAAAAGAGTATCATCTCCCCATATATGTTTCCTGATGACTTTCATGCTTATTGTCACCACTGAATCCATCGTGCACAGCAAGTTTAACCGCAAATATTGTAAACCATTTTTTCTGCATAGCCTAGCATGGTTTTCTAAATATTGATACAAAACCATACTTTGAGGACCAAAGTTCAAGACCAGGACACAAAGTTCCATTGCTTGATCACATGGGAGTCATATTCCCCATTAGCTATCTAAAAATCCAGCATCTAGTCTGAATTTGCAGTTCTAGGTCCCCTCTTCAGCATCTGAGAAACCCCCTCACCAGTGCTATCTGGCTTTTCTTAGCCACTCCAGCTCCTGAAGAGATAGTTTGACTCTTTAAACAGTTTGTCTGGGTCATAGGAAAAGCACACAAGGAAGGAAAATTCATCTTTGAGAGACAGCATAATATATCTTGAATTTAAAAACTATGTTTAAAGGCCAAGCATATACACTTGCAACAAATTTAGCAAGGCAAAACTTTTAACTCATTAGGGGATGGAGAGAGGAAAAAGCTTTGTATATTCCTCATACCTGCTCTAACACAGATCACTTTGTACTGGGACAGAGTATATTTAACAGTGACATATTGGTAACTCCACAAGGTTTTCTCTCTGCATGTCTTTGAGCAACACTGAAGGGCAGTTCTGTTCAATATATCTCTACAGCTGTTGAGAAACTATTGATTCTTCTAGAGGACAAACAGCTGCATGTGCTGCTATAGACCTCCACTGTGCAAGGGCAAATAAGACCTTTGCTGAAACTGTCCCCAGCAGCAGGTGCTCTCAAAGCAGCCTGGAAAATACTTCAATTGCTAATGTTTCTTCAGGCAAAGCACCATTTCCGAGGTGCATTCTGCAGCAGCAATGGCAATAGTGTTGGAACTTCAAGCAGTTTAGAGATTAGTCATTTTGTTCCCGTTCCATAAACTTTTACTACATCGTGTTGTTTAAAATAGTACTGGCAGATGGCATGATCCAGTCACTTGAGCATGTAAGTGGGACTAAGAAGTCTTAGTTTGTTGCACTACTGACTCCAAGATTCTGTCTTCTCTCTCCATTCTAGTTTGCCTAGACTGCAAACTCCATGGCAAAAGCTTTGTCTCTTTCTAGATATGTGTGCTAGGCTTAGCACTGTCTGCAGCCAGTGCTGGGGCTTTAGTCATTGTCACAGTATTGGTAATTCTAATACTGATCATAGTTTCATCTGCTTTGCTCTAGCAACTTTTTCACTTTGTGTATCACTTCCACTGGAAGCTGGGTGCACCTGTACAATGATTCTTTTAGGCGCGGTGACATTAGCCAAAACGCTCCTCAGGCTCACAGATGTGTGAGAGATTTGAGGTGACCAGGCTATGTTACATGAACTAGTTGGGAATTGCTCTTGCCCCTCCACTAGTGCTATTTGGCTCAGCTAATCACTGTAAGCAGCTTTGAGATACCAAAGAACAGCCATCTGTCCCACTTCTCTCTTTCATCTCAACTAAACAAATGTTCTTTCAACCCCTTCTTGTAATTCATGGCTGGTATCTTTCTTACAAAGTAGGATCAGAATCCAGACATAATTGTCATTTACTCATGCTGCCAGGTGGTCTCATCTGTTGTATTCTCTCTCATTTAATAAAACGTACCTTATGACACCCACATTATCATGCTCTAAAATAAGAATTTACTATTTGGAAATTAATCATCTACTGAATCATATTTACTTTGTAATCTACCATGAGCCATCTTTGTTGTTCTTTACTTCATATATTTGATGCCTTCTTTGCATTTTGAATTTCATCATGTTAAATTTCATCTGGTTGATTTACTTTTACTGAACGTTTTACAGATGTGAATTTGATCAAACTTAATTAAATTCAGTGGATGCCTCAAACAACCAAAATATGGCAGATTTGTGCCTGAATCTCTGTCAATCAGTTCTATAAGACGTTAACAATCTCCATTTAAAGCAGATCAAATAGACACTTCAGGGTTGCAAGCCTGGACTTGCTAATTTTACCTTCATTGACTGTTCAACTGAGAAGCCTACACTTTTACCAACAGACTTTTAAATATTTTCCTTGATCATGTTTCTAAAGCATCCTTGATATTTACACATTTCACAATTCTTGTGTATTATTTTTGATAGTAAATTACATTTGCAGATATCAAGCAGCAAACACAGAAGCTGTGCAATTCCATTTCATGTACAAACAATTAAATTTCAGTCTTTCAAGGCACATCACATACTTTATTGCCTCTGAAAGAGGGTTTTGTTTCTCGTTTATGAGGGAAATTATATGCATAGCTTCAATTTTCTTGAAATGCTTGAGCCAGAAAGAAGACATTTTCAGTGAAGGAGCATTAATATTTCAGTGCTACCTGTAAATTAAATTCTACAGTATCAGCTACATAATTTCCTATCTTGCTTTCATAAGCCACTCTTCTACTGTCTGGTCTTCAATACATTTTTGTTTCAAAGCTAGGAGATATTTTACTGTGATACTCGACACTTGATACTTCGATATGGATCAAAGTATTTTGGAAACGTATAATTCTGTAGAGCATGTCATGTCACGTGGCTATCCAATTATTTTATATCACTTTCAGTAAACAAATGAGAATGTTATGTTGAAGATTAAGACCTTGATCTCTTGTGCAGATAATACACACCGAAAACCCTTTAGATACACATGCAGTTAATCACTACAGTAAAATATTTTCATGAACACGTACATGTCAGCTGGAAGGCTCCTACAATAGCAAAATATCTGTTATGCATTACATAAACCTAAGAACTTAACTGAGTTATGGAGAAAATCCTGCATAAACGAGAGTCTCAAAGCTGGCAGTACATTTGGAGCTGGTAGATGATGCAGTTCTCACACTAAGAAACTCAGTCCTTTCCCCAAGGATTTGTATCAGCTCTTTAAGCTTGCATTCCTAACATTTCTGTTAGTGTCTAATTCAGATTCTTTTTTTCCCCACACAATCCTATAATATCAGAATTACACTTTAGGTGTTTCTATTGTGTTATTGATATGAATAAGCTGACCATGAATTCTATCTTGATGTTGATTTTACTTTATTTTCACTTTATTGCTTGGTAGACTGAATTCTTTGTAGGCTGTCTTGCAAGTGAAAAAGCCCTATTTTAGTGATTGTTTCTCGATACAAAAAATGGCATCACAATGATCATTATCTCATTTATTCTTAGCCAGTTTTGCCTCTTGAGTGGTGCATGTATTACAACCATACAGCCTCTGAGAGGAGGCAGTACCGCTTTTGGACTTCTGTAGCTAGACCTGCAAATCCTGGAAATCATTGTTTTTAGTTGTTCCTGCTCCCCAGAGTTGCAAGAATCATCACCCAACACAGAGATATGGGGGGAGCAAACAGGACTGGCCAGCTGGTACCTGGTTTTTTTCACCCAGGAGGAAAATATCTCTACCTGACATCAGCTGAAGCTTTTGATGATGACTAAAAGGCCACTTTCTTCAAATGTGTCAACCTAACATTGCATGGGAAAATCATGCATTTATATGCACAGACAGGCAGGAACATAACTTGCAGAAGAGTTCTGAAGCTGCGTCTACCTGAGCAGGATCTGCATGCAGAGGGCAGGTAACCAATTTACAAGCACAGTTATAGTTTGCCAACCCTTGTCCCCCAGAGATGATACAAGAGAATTTTAATCCTCTGCCTGTTCCACCATCTTCGTCTGTAACCTGAGAACTGGGGCTATGAACTTCTTTCTGATATTCCTTCAGGATTTTTAATTTAAGGCCAATTTCCTTATGCATTGAAAGCACTTATTAACTTTCATATGCAAAGTTCTGTATTTCAATGTGAAATGCCTGGAGTTGGAAATGAATATTAGAAATTGGTATGAGTTACTTTAATTTTTCTTATGAAAAAGCTACTTGCAGAAAGTGTTTTGAATAATGTTATTTAATTGCATAATGACAAATATAGCAGTAATAAAATATTTACAAACCAAAAAACAAGCTATGCCTAGAAATATGGGGTAACGCAGCTGTCATATAGGTACAGTGGAAACACTGAATCAAAAAAGAATCAAATTCTACTTAAGGTCAGCTACTGAACTGATTAGAAGGGCATTTTCTTCATAAAAGAGGTGCCTAAACTGATTTTCTACCTTAATGTAGTCTGAAAAACTCTGGTTTACCTAGAGAAGGATTTATCTGGTCAGGGTTATAAGCACAACTCCTTGGTTGGTTCATGGAATTGCTAGAGACAACTGTTTGGTTTTAGTGTGTAAGCAGAAAGATGTTTTATAGTAAAAACTTGTGATTTGCTGCTTTCACACCTCAGTTCCTGAAGTACTTAAAAGCATGTTTAATTTAAGCATATTGCTGATTAGAGCTGGTTGTCCAAGTGAGAAGCTGAGCAACAGACTTTGTCAACTGTTCTGTTCTGTCTTGAACTGATTGACTGCCTCTATCTCTGCCTCTATCTGCAAAGTACTGGACATGGTCCAGAAAATGGTACTTGCTTACATAATTAAGCTCAAAAGCCTCCTAATCCCCTTAACTTCAGCACCCTTAGCCATATATATGAGGCATAGGGAAGTCCTCGAAGAGTACCATGTCCAGCAAAGTCTCTCAAATAACTAAAGAGGGAATTCCATCCCTGGCAGTGTTCAAGGCCAGGTTGGACACAGGGACTTGGAGCAATCTGCTCTAATAGGAAGTGTCCCTGCCCATGGCAGGGGGTTGGAACTGGGTGAGCTTTAAGGTCCCTTCCAACACAAACCATTCTAGAATTTTTTGATTCCGTAATTCCCCGTAGCTTGTTGAGCAGCAATCCCCCTACATGTTTCAGAACTGAAAAGACCAGGAAAACGATAGCCTTTACCCCCATGCAGGCAAGCTTCTTCATGCATTCAGGATCCCACATTTTGACTCTTCTCATCATCAATCTCTGACAAAACTATTAGTCCTCACCAGAATGAAAAATAACATTTAAATGGCCCTTGTATGGACTAAAGGGAACAGGCTAAAGACTTTTCTAAAACCCCTCTTCTGTATCTCGAGGCTACTGGAACACAAATTAGGATGCCAGGGTTAAGAGGAGGTGAGGAGATGGTGCCTGTTTGCTGAGCTGAGATGCCTATGGAGGAGCACAAAAATACTTCTGACAGTTCTGGTTAGAGCACTCGGTGTCACTCAGGATGAAGCTGACAGCTATTCTGAGACTGTGACAATTTTCATTACGTTCAGAGACCCAGCATAACATGAAAATTAACCATTTGTAATGCAACAAATACTTCAATATCCTATAGCCTGAGAACTAAGGCTAAATGTCCGTAATCATGAATCCTCTCATACCCTTTTAGAGTGTTGTGGCACAGAGTGTCTTAGTGTGACTGCTGAGTAAAAGTGAAGGCAAATCTTGCAACATTGTTATAAATGAACAGCTTGAATTAATTGCCTATTATTATCATGAACATAAAACCAACTTGACCTGCAGGTTTCCATTTCTACCAAGAGATTAAAAGACTTTCTTGTGAACTGTTTTGTTAGAGATAGAAGTTCACGATATTCCGAATTGGAAAAAGTTGGGGTTGGCACATGCCCACTTATATTGAGTCTTAATTCAGCTTTTTTAGTGATTGTTTATGATGGATCTGAGTTTGGCTGAAGTCAGCCCCAATAATTTCTATTTGATATCATTGGAATAAGAGATACTTTAAAAATGTTCTTTTTTTCCTCTGTTCTTCATAGCAGCATTTCGGTTTTTCCAGAGTCTTTTAATAAGGAATGCAAGTTGTAAATTTCCTTCAACAACTAGATAACACTTTTCTGGATATGCTCACTTTCTAATACTTTATGTTTCATAGGAGTAATTTTGTGTTTCCCACAGGAGCCATTCACAAAGATAAACTAGCAGATAGATAGACATCTGACCATAAATCACAGGATTTTTCTTTAGCCATAGAACAGAACAGCTTTGATACTTGATGTTTATGACTAATAAACTCTATCCAGCCAGACGAAACTATCATTTAAGTCTGTGGACCATGTTCTCACCTCAGCTGGATCTTGTTGACCAGATTTTTAGAGTCTGACCTATTCAGACAACTATCTCCCTCTGAACCAGGGTGGGAATCTGAAAAAAGCCTGAAAAATCCCATGGACTGACTTCCTAAATTAAATTACTCCCATGCAACCAACATATTAACTGGGCTGATGGGGCAGAATTTGGTCCATGGACTGGAGCAGGATTGTATCACATAAGCACTATGGCATTTTACATAGCTTTTTTTATCTCAGTAAATGCAGTCTCTGTCATAGGAGTTGAAATAGTGCACAACATTTTTACAGGAGACTTGAATCATATTCTGGTTTAGAGTACCCTACTTCTCTGAGAAAAGAGTGCATCTCAGTACTCTTTTCCAGTATGTAGGTTCACACTTACCTTGTAATTACATAAGGTGCAAAACAAAGTATGAAAGTACCGATAAAGGTACTTATTTTCTTTGTTGCTCGCTGCCTCCTCCTCTTTTGTTCTTCTAGACAACGCTCTCTTACACTGTGTGACATTCAACACAAACAAGAACATGAATCATGATATCAGGTAGCAGATTTTAATGGCTTTACTTATGGAATTACGGAAATCAATCTTTCCAGGAACTGTTGTAATAACATAAGTCAATACAGGTGCACTGCATTTATGTGAGGCAATACCAAGTATAAATGCATTGTATGATCATCTTACTCTCCAAAAACAGTCACCGAGAAATACATGATTATATATTCATATGCATACACCCCCATCATATAGGTTTATATATAGTCAAAGTGGTGGAATTCAGCCTTGAATTCAGTTGCAGCTCCGTTTTGAATTACTGTAAGCTGTATTTTTGACCCAGTGTTTGCCTCATGATACTCAGAGACTTGGAAAATATCCAGAGAGGGGTAGGCAGCATGCTACTTCCCTAGAAACAGCAATTCCAACATCACTACCTTAGATAGGAGAAACTTCCCAGCAAGATAAGCAATAAAATCATAACAGGGAAAAATCATGATCTGAACCCAATGTTGGAGCACTCACTGTATCCCATAGCTGTGAACCATGTAGCCGTAAATCTTTTGTGCAGCTCTGCACAGATGCTATGCTGAATGCTCTGCAAAGCTGGGAATTGTAATAAATCCACAGCACTGAAATACTCTGTTCACCTCACACCAGTCTTGATTCCCACCTAAACAGATACAGATTAGTCACACCCTGTGGTTTCTCCCTTCCTGTGGCATTTTAGGACAAGAGTTACTCTTCTTGTTTTCACACCGGGCCACCTGAAAGCTGCTAAGGACTTTGGTCTGCCAGTGGGGTGGTGGGAACATAGGGCTGAGACCATGCTTCCATTGCAGGAAATCGCCTGCAGAATCAGCTTACTAAAAGAGTAATAACATCAAAGCCCATCCTCCTCCTCTACCTGCTTGTGTAACTCCTGTGCTCACTGTGCATTTTGAGGGAAATGGATGGGTTACTGTCTTCGCCAGGTGGCTAGGTTGGATGGGCAGCACTGGTTGTGTCTCCCAGAGCACCAGGGCCATCTGTACCTGAGCAAATCCCTTTGGGAAAAGGCAAAACCTAAAGCCAGACTGCAGTCCTGAAATCCCCCTCTATGCACATAGCAATGCTGCTACGTCTTAACTCATTGCATAGATCTGGTGGTAAGACAATCACACCTTGGGCAAACTGAATGGCCTTGCCTCTGTGCTGTATTTTGTAACTGCTTAGCATCAATCTCCATTTTTATTATAAATTTATAACTGATGACTCACTGTCAGATTCCACACTTACTTACATATATTAATAGCTGAGAGATTATGTCCATACCCTTACGTTATTTGCTGTATCTATATATGTTTGATCATCATCTAAACACGTTCTGTCCTGAGGATCTCAGTGTGCTTCATTGATGCCTGTGACAGTGAGTCTTACATTACTTTTTGGTTCTGGTAGAGAAAATGTGTTTCCTTTGCTCTGTTTTATATATGGTATATAATGGTATACATTGCCAGTACCCAGAGCTGTTATCATGATATGCAAAATGAAATAAATTCTGGAGGAAAAGTTTGTTCTCCTAGAAATAGCAAATTGTCTTCCTGTCAAAGAATATGCCTAAGTAGAATGAAAACACATCTAAATGTGTTACATGTTCTATGTCTGAGTTATTTGCAGCTAGAAATGACAGCTCAGAAGGAAAAAAAATCCACCTTTTCAAGACAACCTATATGCTTTCAGCTCTGCAAGAGCTAGAGAACTTGGAGTATTTTTAGGTGCAGACAGATGATCTTTGACAGCTTAACCTGTGTTATTAAATTCATAGTATCTCAGGCACACACTGATGTAGGAAAAGAAATCTCCGAAGTAGCTTAAATTGGGGGAGTGTTAAGGTGTAAAGGTGGCATGTTTTTGCCTCTAACAGTTTCCCCAGTTACATGTTTTCCTTCCTGGCACATAGACAGCTGTCTTTGAATCCTGGAGCTCACACATGACTTGGGAATTCCTGATACACTTCAACCAGTTTCTTTTGTCCAACCTTTCCAGGTGTAGCTAATAAATACCACATCACAGAGGAAGGTATTTTATCTCCCTTCTCCATATAGACAAAGTATGCGGATGAGTGCTCTGCTTTTGCACACACTTTCATGAACTAAGATAAGAACTTATACGTGAGTTCCAGTAATGACACTAGTAATAGAAATAGATTATTGACTAAGCTTTTGTTTAAAGATCTTAATATCCTGGAAAATCTTAGAAATATCTCTTTGAAGGTTTGGTATTTTAAACAACGTTTATGAGATACTGGACCTTAAGATGCATAGAGCTGAATACACCAAAAAGATGGTATAGATAATTGGAGTGAAGAAACACATGGGTTAAGTACTTAAGTGAGGTCTTGCCCAAACCTCTCACAATACCTGTGATATCTTGGTCTTAAGAACAAAGTCAAGAAAAAAGCAGTATCCAGTAAAAATGCCTAAGTTAACTTGAAAGGGCATGTGCCCTCAACATTCACATGAATCTCTGTGGTATTTAGAGGTTTCCTGTGTACTCGCCTTGAATGATCTTCAGAAGATCACTCGTGTCTCTCCAAGTCACAGGTAATAAAGCCATCTGCCATAATGCCTGTCTCTAGACCCCCTTGGGGGTGGATTCTGAGTCATAGGAAGCTGAAAATTGCCTGTACACATTTCTCAGCTTTGAAACTAGACCGTGCAAAGAGCCAGAGAAGTCAGGGCAGTCTAAGGTGGGATTACAAACTTTGTTCTCTCATGTGCATTCTCCCAGCATTCGTGTCTATGCTGTTAGGTACTATGGGAAACACTGAAACTGCCTGTATATATTCCATTTATGTAATTCAAATGATGCTGTTGCTCTGTCAGAGCTTTAGGAACATCACTGACTTCTCCAGGAGACCTTCAGCCTTTGTGTAGCTCTCAGAAGAGGGAAGGCAATCTGAGGTCTAGCTGTTTTAGCAGCAGTGGCTGTCCCCAGTTATGGAAGCACCACCATAGGTCATACCAGCCACCATTTCTGTAGTCTAAAAAAGAAGGTAAAACTCTCCTTTCTTAGAGAGAGGCATCAGAATAACCTGATGTGAGAAATCAATAAATTAGTAATACAGGTAACTCACAGCAAAGTGCCTGCACAACTCTGCCTCCTCCGAAGAAAGGAGATATCATTCCCACAGCCCCATTGAATCCACCCCTCTGTGAGATGATTGCAAAATGCCCAACCACCCTCAAATTAACCTAGATCAGAAAAAATGCAGAGGAGAAGAAATAGCATTGGGATCTTTGTCCTTTTCCTAAGCTTTGCTGTGCAGTCCAGGCATACTTTAAGCATTAAGCATAACGATTGCTATTTCAAATAGCCCTGGTAGGTTTATGGCACTGTCAGGGAGTAACCATCACATCTCGTAGTGCGTGCAGGAGCTAAGACCAGTCGAGGCACAGTTTAGCAACCAGACAGCACGTAGGACAGGAGGGTGTTTTTTCCTCTATGTGACTTGGTGAATAAGGGAAGATTTATACATGTGTTTCTCAAAAACAGTTACAGGAGTTGCCCAAAGTTCTGCTCTGCATTCTTGGTCAAGAGAAAGATCAAACAGCTTAAGTGGAGAATTTTGAGCAAATGTTCCTGTTCCTCTAACAGTGTGCTGTCCTGCCCTGATCCTTTCAGATTTATTTGTTTTAGGCTTAGGAATCCCCAAAATATGACCCTTTTTTTGAGGACAGCCACATGTGCTTTCAGTCCTGAAACTCTGCTCCTGGCTGGCTGCTAATAGAGGGAGCTGGCATTTGCCTCCAGTTTGCAGAGTAAAGGACATCAAGGAGGGGGTCAGGTGGGATGTCTGGCTTGGGACTGCTCTCTTTGACTGCTCTCAGCTTTCCTCAGCTGCAGGCAGACGTCTGTCCCCGTATCAGACACCAAATCTGCATCCCTTCCAGATCCAGACATACCTATTCTTGCAAGATTTATAGTTTGTGCCTAATCCCTGATGTGACTCTTGAACAGCATCCCAGCACACGCTCATTCCCATTCAGAGCTTGCCTTCAACCTCTTTATCCTCCCAGCCCCTGGAGACTTTTCTCCTCCTCCATCTAGGCATAAAGGGCTTGCTTAAAGACTCTCATTTGACATGAACTTTATACTTCCCTTGGCTGTCATATTAATATTGCTATTAAGTCTCTCACTTAGATTTAAGTATAGCCACCTGAGTGTATGCATTTTGCAGATGTTATTCCCTGACAATTCTGCCCTCAGGAAAGAGAAAGTTGCAGAGAGAACAGCAATAGGGAAACTGCTGGGTGAAGGAGCTTCCCATCAGAACTCCAACTGGAGAGACATGTGCAGCCTCTGCCTGTTTCCTCTTAGGGATCCAGCATCATTTTGGGCTGACAGTGCCAAAAAATTACCGACTGCTAAATCATCTTCGGAGACAAATGGCAGTGATCTGATCACTGTCTCAAAGGGAAGTGCATGCTCAGCCAAAACTGCCCGTTTATTTGCTCTCCCCCCAAAACAAGCCCTTAACCATAACAAAAAGAGTTGCTTCTGCAACCAGAGAAACAAACACCAGTAAAAGAAACATGCAGAATAGAAACTGACAAGAAGGATGCTATTTTCTCCCCCTGCCCATCCCCTGCTGTGACACAGATCAGACTGCATTTAACATAACAGTGAACCCTGTCCTCGCTTCCTCTGCAATGAAGGGTTCACTTGCTAAACACACTGGCACCTTACCTGGGATGGATGTCCACAAGCAGCACCAGCGTCTGCATAGTGATCACGTCAATCCGCTTACAGTGAAACCGTGCCACCTTCAGCACTTTTAGATATGTGAAACACAGGACTATAAGGGAGAGGAGGAAGCTGAGGGTGTGAAAGACCACAGTGAAAATCACAAACTGTGTCCTATCCTCTGGTCTCTTGTTGTACAGGGTGCAGGAGGCATAGAGGTGATGGAAACCCACCCAGGAGAGAGAAGCTGCCACTATCGGGAACGACACCGAGTGCAACCACGTGTAGCTCAATATGAGAGCAGCATCTCTGTACCTCATTTTGGAGTGATAACTTAGAGGGAAGACCACAGCAATCCACCTGTCAATGCTCAAAGCTGCCATGCTCAACATGGAGTTCGTGGTGAGGAAAGTCTCCAGGAAACCCACAATGTGGCAGATCTGATCTCCTCCTGGTTGACTCTTGTAAATGATCCCAGCCAAGGTCAGGGGCATGTTCGAAACAGTCATCAACAGGTTGCAGAAGGTGAGGTTGAGGATGAACAATCCTGGGACCTGCTTGCGGATGTCAGCGCTGTACAGGAAGCACATCAGCACCAGCACATTGGCCAGCAGGGCCACGAGCATCAGCACCACCACCACGAAAGCCAGGATCACCTCCCAGATGCTCATGGTGCGTCCAGTCACAGGAGGGACATCTCCGAAACTGCTCTGCGCCGGCACCCGGGGAGCATGGTGCGAGGGGCACCCACCTCACTCTCTTCCCCAGCCTGCTCACACTCTTGCATGCCCTCCGTATTTTTAGAAGAGCTGCAGTTTTTGTCTCCAACCTCCCCCTCCTCGCTGCTCCTTTCCACGTCAACGCTTTCCGAGATGTGCACAAAAGCACTGGGAATGCCCCTCAAACTGCAAGGAGGGCTTAAAAAATATCAGCAGAACTGAACCACTGTCTGCATTCAGTCCATTGGAAGGAGAGAGGGTTATTCTGAGAAACTGCTCTCCTGAGATCCCTAATTATCAGCCCCAAGCTTGCAAGCAGTTCACCGAGTGAATTGTGCTCTCCTTCTCTCTTGCTTTCTGTCTGTCTCTGTCTCTGTCTCTTGCTCTTTCTCTCCCCTCCCCTCTCCTCCAACCCTCACTCCCTTCCAGGCTGAACGTAACCTGCTTTTTATGATCACAGATAAAAACCCCATTAATGGATTAAAGCATGCACACTGCTGGAGATTCGCAAACGTGATTATGTCATCCCCACTCCACAACCCCTCCCCTTCTCCTTGCGACTAGACTTTCCTCAAGAGAATCCCACGTTTTCATTTAATTGATTTAGCCATTAATTTGCAAACAGCCATGTAAGTGAATTCCTGCACTCCAGTGTGTTCCCTGCATCTCGGTGCATCACTTTCACAGTTGCTGCGTGCTCTCAGCCAGGGGCTTTCTTTTCTCTTCATTAGCTGTGCTCAAAAAGATGAGGGGGAAAAATAACGGATGTATTCTGCTACTTCTCTGGAGCTGTCATGAGGCTACCACGATGGTTTTACTGCTCTAGTTTAGCACTTTGCAGTCTTACGTCCGCAAGCACAACATGCAGGAGGAAAATGATTGCCTCCCTTCCTCCTATAAAAGCAGGTAAAACAAAGCCCCAAATGCCACTGTTGCATGCCCAGGGTCACAGAGCAGGTGAGTGGCAGAGGCAGCAACGTGCTGCTGGTCTTGCTATTCAGACAGGCTTTCTCCCCTTCGACAACCCTTGTTTCTTCCTAATCAAAGCCTCCCTCCCTGTGCAGGTGAGCATCCTGTGAGATCGAAACCAAGCAGCAGCTTGGCAAAGAAATTAGGAATGAGTCTGTACTGCACATAATTGTTAAAATCAAGTTGGTTTTAAAGGACAGAGTGGGAACTGTTTTCTACTTACCTTTCCTGTCTCTTTAAAACAGTTTTAAGTGGGAATGCTGAGAGTTTGTGAGCAATCGGGACAGCTTTCTCATCAAGGCAGCCAAGCCTTAATCCCTGCACAATAAGAAGGCAAAAGATACCCTGCAGCACAGCTATTGTGGCTTAGCAAGTGCCTCTGCACGTGTGCAAGAGCTAGATACTGAGGTGGATTTCTCCTCTGTGCTTGCAGCCCTCGCCAGAGTTGTGCACGCTCGGTTTCCAGCAGCTATTCATTGCACTTGGGTTCAGCCACTCAGTAGCAGAGCTGTCACCCTGCAGCATGTCAGAGCATTGCTTGTTATAGGAAGGGCCCTTCTTTCCACTTTTGTTTTGTTTTCTTACACCAGGCTTTAAAGGGCTAATAGAAACAGAAGACTGTCATTGAAGGCAGATGGGACTCTCTGGGACAGTTTAATGTGGTACATCTGTGCGCTCCCAGTCTCCAAAACACAAGTACACATTCTCATGCTGGGTAGGTGAGGAGCTGAATTCCAGTGTCTGTTCTTTTCCCGAGGCAGTGGTCCAAAGCTACGTGAGAAAATCCTAAAGGTGAGCCCTTTAAATAAGAGGAGTCTTTACTTTCTTAGGACAGGCAGGCTTAAGAAGATGAGAGAGCAGATGCAGACCTTCTCTATGGAGACAGCTGAGAGAGCTGGGCTGCTTCATCCTGGACAAGGGAAGGTTCCTGAAGCGGAGACCTTAGAGCAGCTCCAGTGCCTAAAGGGGTTACAAGAAACCTGGAAAGCGGCTTTGGACAAGGGATGTAGGGACAGGACAAGGGGAATGGCTTGAACCTGCCAGAGGGGAGACTGAGATGAGCTCTTGGGCAGAAGTTCTTCCCTGTGAGGGTGCTGAGGCGCTGGCACAGGGTGCCCAGAGAAGCTGTGGCTGCCCCATCCCTGGCAGTGTTCAAGGCCAGGTTGGACACAGGGGCTTGGAGCAATCTGCTCTAGTGGAAGGTGTCCCTGCTCATGGCAGGGAGGGCTGGAATAAAATGATTTTTAGATCCCTTCTCCTTAGGCAGGAAGAAACAGTCCTGGCTGCGAAAGGTGTCCCAGCATCAGCAGCTTGAGCAGGGTGTCCGTGTTACAGTACCTAGCCTGATGCCAGCTTAAAGCTCAGCAAGACAGCTACTGGCCCTGGGAAGAATCCATGTGGGTTGGGAGACAGTGAGAAGAAAAATGTGCCCAGACTTGCTGGGAGACTAGGAAAGACAGGGAAAAAAAAAACTTGGTTACATATGGGAGGCAGGTACAGTAACTGTGGTAGAGAGGAATGTCACCCACTCGGTGTCAAAGTGGCTTCTTCCCATGACTTTTCCTTGGGTCAAATCAATCCTGCAAGGCCCCCAGCTACACAAATTGTTCAAGACCCAGCAGCACAGGCATGGGGTAATTTAGCCATTTATCTTGCCTTGCAACGCACAAGGCTATGGGCTAATCAGGATGGTTTCCTGAAGCACCATGCTGTATTCCCTTTAGTGAGGTATGGTGCCTTCTGGATTCCAAAGCTCTGCTTGAGAGTAAAGTCCTGGTATGACAGGAGGTCTAGCATCACTGTCAAGCCTGGTTGACAGGGAGGGGGAAATCTGTGGCTGGAGAAAAAAGGTTAGTGGTGACAGTCAGGAAAAGAGGATTCTCCCAAAGTGATGGATAGATGTGAAATAATAGGAGGCAGAATAAGACAGTTCAGTGAAGCAGTGATGGAATATGAAAGGTCAGATTTGGGAGTGGCATGGGATCGACATTGCAGTGGATTTGTAATGAGGGGCCAATGTGGAGCTGATGTTGTGGAGGAAATGGTGGACAAAGGGTAATAGTGGACATAACTTGAAAGGCAGGAGAAGCAGGCAGGATTGTGGACTGGCTCTGTTAGATCTCTTTACCAGGGAGTAGAGAAGCATATAGGAGTGGATAGCTGCAGAACAGTCAAGAGGAGACCCACTGTATCATCTGCATGGTGTTTGAGCTCCTTCTTTCAAGACCTGAAATCTCCCTTCCTTCCACCTAGACCTTTATCCGCCATGATTCAGAAGGAATATAAATTGCCATTCATATCACTATGGGAAAGCTAAATTAAAGCAGCAAGTTTGGCAGGTACTTCAGTAATTGCTGACCTAAATGAATGAAGACTTCCCAGTCCTATGTTTCATAGTTTACTGATTGCTTTGCCTTTTCCTTTTCTCCTATCAAGCTGTTCTGTGTTATACAAGTATCTCAGGTAAAGAAAACATTGTTTTCAGTGAGACCAAACTCCCTGTTTACAGGAAAAGTGTAGCAGATAAAAAGGGCTTAAATTTATAATCAAGTGAAAGAGCTTTCTAGATCGCAGGAGAAAGCTGAAGTTTTCTCTTTTTGACTCACTTGAGTCTTGGTATGTATGTGTAACTCTAAAGACCCAAGTGATTTACATAATTGATTCCCTTGCTGGTAACCGCTGCAGCTGAGGATGTTTACTGAATGCTTCTGGATTTATTTATCATGCATACCTAAGAAAGCACAATGGACCCATCAAATACGGCTGAATTTTATGGTTAATTTTATCCACAAATGATTGGTTTTAGAAGGATCACACAGATCTCTTGCCATACTCTTACAACAGCTAATGGGTTTATGGCCAACGTACCACATGCATACCAGATTACCCTAACGAAGATATGATTAGTGCTAGTATTCTACCAAACAGGAGGGATATCACAACAATATGAAACTCCTCTAGATATGAGGTTAATCTATTACTCTCCATGCTGTAATTTTTATTACACTTTTGTCTATCTAGCAATGGACAAAGTCAATAAGTTGATTAAAACTTCAATATTTTGGGTTGACCTTTCAATTTCAAAAAGGTTACAGCAGGTGGATGGAAGATTCATCTTTGCTGGAGTGTTCATGAAGGGAAAAACTTTCTCAGCATGTTGTCTCACTGAAACGATGAAATAGCTGTTTGAGATATATGGAATTTTCAAAGTTATATACTAAATGTCCTAGATAGAAGGCTATTCTGATGACCTGACTAAAGCATCTAAGACACTCATTTCATAGGAAACTGATGTTTAAGGCTTTACACCACTGAGAAAACTACCTGAAAATCTAACCTGAAAATGCCTTTGAGATCTGATGCATTTCCTTTGTACTGAAGCTTATAGCTCTCCAATTCTTCTCTGTCAGAATTAGGGAATCTCAGTTTCATGCTTTTACTGTGCTTTCCTTCTCCTATTGTCTCACCTTCCTCCTTTGATCAGCAGTATACAAACTTTGCAGGACTTTAATAACAAGAGTATTGACACATAGAAGAGATTGTTTCTCCTTTATCTGTGTCTTAGCTGGTTCAAAGATAACCAATTTGCCCTGGGAAGCCAGTGTACCAGCATACAGCCCATGGGTATTTCCTTTTGCCTCCATCAACCTTTACTTTTTGCTTCATAGCTGTTTGGAGAGCTTGTAATACATTCACAAACTGTAGAACTGGGTCATTTCACTTTATTGTCAATTAAACTAAGTTTTAGTAACAGCAGTATCTTTAGTCTGATTATTTGAAGGTCAGGTGTCACACTGGAATAAAACAAAGTGTTATCCTCTTTTATGTGAGATAATGGCTCATGAAATCATCATTCACTGGATCGATGGTAAAGTCTCACTGACTTCAGCTATGAGAATTTCACTGTATATGTATAGTACAGATAACGTGAATAATGACTTGTGTAATGTCTATGTACTTTGTCAGGGTGGTAGAACAAATTA